GGGAGAGAGCTTACAATGGTGGGGCCAGAGAGGGCTACAGGCGTAGGGGACCAAGTATGCTTAGGAGTTAGTACTTTATCCTCAGGCACAAAGGGTGAAAGACCAGAATTCCTCCCCTGGCCCAGGCCAAACTTGGGCACAGGAGTTCAAAGGCGACCTAGATATGACAGCAAAGGCTGGCTGCTAGAGGATGGAACCTATTAGCCTGCCTGTGATAAGGAAGAAGAGGAGACGAGTGGAGTAGATGTCAAGAGGCACCCATGAAGCTCTGGAGTGGAAGACAGTAGCTGAAGTACAACTTAGGGGAAATTAGAACTCAGAGAGTTTGCTTCAGATCCTTCCCTTTTAGGAGCGTCTTAGGTGGTAAAAGAATGTTTCTCTTGGGATAAGAATGTCTAATACAGAGATATGAAATGGTGAGGTCTTCCAGATTCTTCTTCCAGGGGTGTGTGTGTGTGTGTGTGTGTGTGTGTGTGTGTGTGTGTGTTGGAAGGGAAAAGGAATTTTATATGCATATGCCACCATTTCTATATTGATAAGGAATACTGAGTTAAAATTCTTATCAAGCTAAAAAAGTTTAACAACTCTATTGAACTAAGACTATTTCATAACCAGCTCTTACTCTGTATAGCAGCACTTTGCCTTTCTACCATGGATGTTGAGTGGCTTGATTTAGTATTAGCAATGGTTCCAAATTCCCTTGCAGTGAGACCTCTTATTGCTGTGTAACTCTGTTGCCTTTAGCCTGTAGTGGTCACTTTCCCTGAGGCTGAAGGAAACTCATGCTGGCTTTTATTTTTAGTCTCAAATTCTTTAACCCCCCTCCTTCTCTAATTCATCAGCTTCTGTGGTCATGAACTGAGCCTCCACGTGCTCTAAGCAATGAGCAATGACTGGACTTTTGTGAGACACCATCACAAGAAAGGGCATCAAGATCATAGCTATGTTCTGCTCCGTTTCAGGCCCTTCTGGATCCAGCTGTGTGACAGCTGCACTAGGCAACACCTGGAGCCACAGTGTGAACACACGGCTGATTTTCCAAAGCCTTGGTTCAGAGAGAAGACAGGTGAGTGCTTTGACATTGTTCTGTGATTGTCAAGGTCATGTTGTCTGTCCTGGCCCGACACAGGGCCTAGGGAAAAACAAAACAAAAAGCATCCCTGCCTGCCCCAACAGCAGTAAAATGAAGTGGGAGACAAGTCACTTACAGGAAAAGAACTGTAAGTATATACCCAAGAGAGTTCACATGGTGGCCAATAGCTTGTAAGTGACCTGATGGTAGCCAATAGCTTGTAAGTGACCAAGGTACACACCTCTAGGGATCTCAGGTTCTCCATCTGTAAAGGGTGAATGATCAACCCTATTGGTCGAGCACTAGGTCATTCATGTACAAATTAAAAAGTGATGGTGCTTTTTCTTGAGATGAATGTGCTTTGAAAACCTCAGGCCAGACAGACCTTTCCAAGAGAATAACTGTTCCCCAGGTCCTGGGTACTTTTGCATCAACTCATGGCCAGTAGTTTAAAGGATTGGGTGATGCTAGAGAGACCTCTGAAAGGATGCTGCCTCTAAGAGCTCCCTGTTGATGGCTTCTGTGCTGGCCTCAAATGAGAATTTCCCCCTCTCACCCAGAAGGTTTCATTTCTACCCCTTCTTCATCTTCCCTCCACCCCCTAAGAAAGGATCACCACTGTCTGACCTTTTGGAAAGATGCCTCCTAATTAGGACATTTCTTCTTCCTGATGGCTAACTTCAGCTTCATCCTATGTGGACCAGGTTCCACCACGACCTCCTCTGCACACAGGAGGAGAAGGAAGCCAGGGTGATTATTCTGATGTAATGGATGGGGCAGAATGCAGAACCCAGATTTGCCCATTTTGCTAAATATATAGCAAATCCAAGTCACTAATTAAAGAGGCATGAAATGTTACGCTCGCTGGTGGCCCTTTCCAGAGGGGGTGGTGGGGAGGGGGTGGTGGGAAGGGCGTGTAGCCCTTTACCTGCGTTAGGTGAACTGGCCCTTTTTCAGGGAGTCAGGAATCATCCAAAACAGACGGGAGCCCTTGCCTGTTCCAGACATAGCTCTCCGAGTGCTCTCGGTTACAGACCAGAGGACTCCTCTTGGTTCGCTCGGACTGTGTAAATAGCCTTCCAGCCGAGGACTGAGTCAGCTGTGTTCTGAGGCGATGGAGCTGCTTGTTTTCATTCCAGGGAACATTCTTGAGTTTTCAGGCCCTGGCGTGCTCGTTGCCTCCATGAGGCCTTTCCTCTGATAATTCAAGTTTCCTGGGTTCTGCATCCATTTCTTTTCTTTTCAGTAGAACGCATCCAAAAATGTTCCTGTAGAACCTAATGACCTTAGGTTTGTACCCCAGGTTATAAATGTTGTTCAGTAAACCCTGCTTGCAGCTCTCAGGCATGTCGCTAAGGAGTGTCAAGCTCTGCTCCCTGGACTCCTTGAGGAAGCAGGGTCCTGTGGGTCAATGTTGATTCGGTCATTTTCATGGATCCTTAACCCCACTCCTTGAAAACTTTTGTACTTTATCTCTGTTTTAGATGTTAGATGACACACACTGATTTTGTGATTCAGTCTATTATACATGGTATTGTGGGTTCCAGGCTCCCAGATTCTAGTTTTACTAATTCTAGTTAGTGTTTATTAGTAAATAAAGAAGTTAGAGCCACATTTTTTTTCATTTGCTTTATTAAATTAACCAGTCATCTCTATTTTGTTAGTGTCAACAGGAAGTAGCTAATAGAACAAATGCTATTATTTTGTGTCTCTTTGGTGACTGGAACATTTTGGTGGCTGTTGGATCTTGGCTCATAAGGTCAATTGTAGGCCACTGGTTAGGAGAAGAATGCAGATCAAAGTGTAGATAGATCAGTGACAGCCTACCAGCTCATATCCCATTAGAGGGGTCCGTGGTGTTATCTTAATCTATAAAGGACAGCTTGTTCTATCATTGCTAATCAATCAAGAGCAGAGTTAAATGCTTTTGAATCGTGTTTCAAACAATAATGAAAATTTAAAGTAAAATACGACCAGCATTAAAAATGGCCACCACAGGCCAAAGAACATATGCTTAATGAGTCTACAGAAATGTATGTGCCTTCAGGGACCAGTTGTTCTGTTTGTGGCCTGATGAGTAGGATAAATTTTAATATAGAAAACTCGCCTCGACCTGATGCCCTGATCTCAGCTCACCAGAGGGTGTGCTTAGTGATTCATCGAGCCTTTCCCGAGGTCCTACTTCATGACAAAGTAGAGGAGCCAGGTGAAGACCCACCTTTTCTGGGATATGTGCTTTTAAGGTGATTGCTCCAAATAATACCTTTTATAACACCACTTAGTAGGAGGACATGCCTAGATCATTCCATAGACAGATCTGAACACCAGCTCCTATGGCAGTGATGGCGAACCTATGACACGCCTCTGACACGCGAACTCAGAGGTGACACACGAACTCATTTTTTTGGTTGATTTTTCTTTGTTAAATGGCATTTAAATATATAAAGTAAATATCAAAAATATAAATCTTTGTTTTACTATGGTTGCAAATATCAAAAAATTTCTATATGTGACACGGCACCAGAGTTAAGTTAGGGTTTTTCAAAATGCTGACGTGCCGAGCTCAAAAGATTCGCCATCACTGTCCTATGGGGAGTTACAGGTAGAGCTTTTGTTTTTTATTCTTTTTTTTTTCTTTCTTTCTCTGAATGCGCAAGCAGAGGCCACACGCCACGGGGTCAAGGTTACGGAATGAAGGTTATGTTTTATCCCGTTTCTATGACGTTGAGCTCTGCATCAGGGCTCGAATGTGAGGCTTAGTCTGAGCTCAGCGGCTGGAAGGGGTCAGGCCAAGCTGAGCAAACTGGCGAGCTGATGAGCCCAAGTTGGATTGTATAGTCCGACCGACAGAGTCCTCCCCGGCTGATTATTTTCTTTACACCCTGGAAACGTAGAATTATACAACCATGGAAGAAATCTCCTTATCAGGGCACAAGCCAAGTTAATTCTCTTGTTTATTCTGCTGCAGTGTTTGTAAAAACGCTCTTGTGAAGCTGGGAAGCATTTTCTTTTGGACTAATTTAGCCTTTTTTCCATTTGACTTTTATTTACTCTTTTCCTCCTTGGCTTCAAACCTGCCCCACCCTTTTTGCAACATTTTTATTCTTACTAAAGACATGTCCTTAGAGTTGAATTAAAATGGCCACTGCTGGGGGTTTTGTGCTTGCGTTTTAGTGGATTTGGTTTTGTTACATAAATAAAAGTATGATTTTGTTCACCACGTGCATGGCAGGGGGATGCAAAGAAGTAGCAGACAGTTTCTGCCTTCAAGTTTCTTCTATTCTAGTCCGAGAGATGACTGAGGTATATAATACACACGCATGCCCACATACACACTCATGAATTATCGAAATGAAATGCAGAAGTTAAAGCACAAACTATCTAATACGTGGTTAGCACTGTTCTGAGTCCCGGGAAGGTAAACTCATCAGAGCAAGTTAGTCTTATCAAAAGAAGGTGGGACTTGAGTATCACTTTAAATCTGTGTTTCTGGACCCTGGGTGACTGTAGACCCCTCCCAGGAGTATTTACAAAATACCAGCACCAGGGCCCCACCCTGACCAATGCAGTCAGCATTCCTGCTGGTGGGGCCAGGCCTCCATGTGCGTTTTATTTGTAAAGCTCCCCCAGGTGATTTGATGGTCTAGCCCAGGTTGGAAACCTGATGTAGATCAAATCGGGTTACTAGGGAAGGAAAGGGAAGATGTTGGGGTGAGGGTGGAGCAAAAGGAGAAAGACAGGAGGTCAAGTCATAGGTTCCGAAGACTTGGGTTGGTTTTTGCCTGAAAACATGAGCATAGGATGTGTGTACCCATTTATTTGACAAACCTTTATTTAATCACCTCTTCTCTGCTAGTTACTGTGTAAGATGCTTGTAAGAGATTCAAAGTATAAGTAAGTTGATGCCCTGTAGTTGTTCACAATCAACCTGGGGAAATAGATAAACATGTAAACAGTAGGTGCTGTATGCGTGCATCTTGAGCCAAGTGAGCCTTAGAGGAGAGAGAGGCCCTAGCACAACGGGAGGTCCTGTGCTGATGAATGGGGCAGCAGCATCCACACGGGATTGGCTGAGGCCCACCTTGGGAAGTTCTCAGGGTAACCAGGCACCTTGTATTGAGGGGCTAGAAAAGCTAGAGTGAGGGTGGTTATACTTGAAAGAAGGATGAAAACCTTGATGAAATATTCATACTATTCCTCATCAAATCCGCATGCAGTCTGCTCCTACAAACCACATATGGGATTATATAAAATTTTAAGTGCCCGAGGAGTACTGAAGTAAATTAATCCCAACTAAGCTTCACACTCCCTTGATGAAATAAATATTATGACTCTCTTATTTCAACAAATTGGAAAGAGGTGACTTTTTCATCCAGAAGGTTTATTTAAATGGGCTTTAGAACAATATTTTCATCTTCCATGTAGAAGGCACCCTGATGTTCCAGACCACGGAGGGAAGAGACTTCTAGTAAGAGACACACATTGTTGACAAGACCAATAACATCACTCCACTCCCGGTCCTTACTTCAATCCTTGGGCTTTTCTCACAGTCCCAGGTTGTTTTGCGTCTTGGAAGTGTTCAGCGTTTCTGTTCTGGTGACATCACTCTTTCTTCTTTCGGTGCCCATTTTGTATTTTGAAAGACAAACACCATCACTCTGAGGACCCCCAGCACCCCAGCCCTAATCAGGCCCTCTTCCCTCAGTCTAACCCTCAGTTGCACCTCAAAATTTGTCTCTGTTTTTGCCTTGTGAGACCTGAAGGATGAGCCCCTTGAGGACTGTGACGGAATCTTTCCTGTGTCCCCTCAGAGGCAAGATCAATGCTTGACACTTACACATTCAATACATTTATTTAGAAAGAGAGAAAGAAGGGAGAAACTCCTTGTAGCTGTGTGTGAACCCAGTCTTGGGGAAGAACACGCTGCTTATTTAGAATCACTCTTCTCCATAGCAACTGAGTTTTCCAACTTAATAGTTCTCCCAAAGTATTAG